ACATACATACATACATGCATGCATTTGCATATTTGCATACCTGCCTACATACATCTACGTGCATGCTCACATCTATTTATGTATGCACGCATACCTATACATTTACATGTGCATGTACATATACATTTACATATACAATTTGCATTGCATATGCGTATACATACTCATATATGTATGCACATACGTGTACATGCACACATGCGCATATACATATACGTATACGTATACGTATACTCTTACATATACATATAAATATACATGGGGACATGGACATGGAAACACACATACATAAATGCATGCATACACATATGTTTTTACTCTCTCTCTCTCTCTCTCTCTCTCTCTCTCTCTCTTACACATATGTTTTTACTCTCTCTCCCTCTCTATGTATAGCTATCTGGCTATCTATCTATCTATCTATCCATCCATCTATCTATCTATCTGTCTATCTATCTATCTATCTATCTATATATATATATATAGACATACATTTCTACAACACGTACACATGCTAATACTCGGGCAGAGCGACAGCTGCACGCCGTCTCAGAGTCCTGGGGGTGGGGGCGGGGTTGGCAGACATTGGCAGACGTGCTGCTCCTGCTATGCCGACAAATTTCTTGCACATACCGCCGCTCGCGACTGACGGCTGACGAAACCTTCCAATTCTAAGGCTTAGGACCAACATGACGAATCGTTGGTTCAAAGAATTTGTATGCCATCAGCTGAGCACGACAAGTCTTGACCTCCCAGGCCTCAAGCTGAAAGCGGTCGTAGCTCCAAACTGAAAGCAGCAAACGTGGTTTGGCCCTGAAATGAAAGCAAAATGCGTGGTTCCGGAGGTTTGGCCGCAAAATGAAAGCAGCAAAAGCCCCAAGTGAAAGCACACGGCAGGTGTTGCTCTGGCGGGCTGCAAGGGCCTGGTGTCGATTGTAGCACTGAGAGCGGCCGCAGGGCGGTGTGGCAATTGAAGTGGCTAGCACGACACGGAAAAACCAAAACCTCAAACCAAAGCTTCGCTCACTGCAGAAAGGAAAGTTGCAAAACAAGTTATGGCAGCTGGCACCGACACAGTGGTGGTTGCGAATTTAGCCGTCAGTTCTTAGGGAATCCAACATCAGCTGCGGAGAAGTGCACGTTCATTATCCGAGGGATGATGCGAGCTGAAGCCAGAGGAGACGTTCTGCTGGATGCTGGTAGGGAGGCGCGAAGCGTTCATGGAGTTTCCTGGTGACGATGGTGTGGCTGCACTCTTCTCGGTCTCTGCAACATTTGCACCCACTCAACCCTATTTTTGTGCTGTGGCCGTCCAGGCTACCGCATACAGTGTGAACGCAGAGGGGGAGCAGCTTGGCACATACCTGCAGAGTTCTGCGACACGTGACGAGTTACGGCGAACCTTATGGTAGATTCCTGGTAGATCTGGTGGCAAGCCTTGGCAGCATTCCCGGTGTAGGATGAGCCACAGATGCCCACGGATCTATCGGCGCAAGGAGGTTAGGGTTCCGTTGTCGTTACTATTGTGGCGGTGGTGATGGTTGTAGTGGCTATTGAATCATCTGTCCATGTTCACTTGTCCTTCTCACGTTTCGATGTCTCAGGACTGGAATTCTGGAGGCTTGGAACTGAAGCCAGCGGACTGCCTGCCGCCAAAGCTAGCTTCAATCGGATGTGGTGTTGTTGTCGTGGCTGCGTAGTCGTCTGTTCGTGACATTTCCATGATGTTTGGGGTGAAGCTCCGGCATTCGGTCTCGGCGCAGGGAATCGACGTGGACTGCCAGTGGGCAGATTGGTCCGTCAGCAGCTGAGTTGGCAAATCCCTCTCCGAAGATTATGCCGTGATGCGAGCCCAGGACTGGAGCGTGTGCCAGTTCACCTGCGGGGGAGGCCGAGACAAGATTTGAACACAGGCATATAGATTCCAGAGATTTCAGGTTCGGGGTTGTGACATTCGGATTCTGGCGACCATTTTGCGGAGTATGTTGTGCAATCAAAATGTTGCTGTGTGGTGTCGACCTCGACCGTGCTCCCCCATCTCACGCGGCCAATAGCCAATGTTCGTCTATTCTGTGGCTACTGACATTTTGAGCGCGAACAGTTTGTTTCATGGACGCGGAAGCCCAATGAACCCAGCACCACGCCAGCTGCTATGTCATGTTGGTCTCGAACCCCATCGAAAAGCCGTTAACCTTACGGAAATGTCTTCATCCGGAGTCCAAAAAGCTTGGCCTTCCATCAAGGCATCTCCGTAAGAGACCGAGCCGTGAAGCGGATGGCCCAAGGGTCAGGCCGGTCGTATTGGGGTTTCGGGTTTAAGGTACCTTGCATCTGGGTTATATTGCCAATACTTTTGACACCTGGCACCATACGAGGTACTCTTCAGGATATCTACCGTGCCGTTCAGTTGTAAAGCCACTGCATCAGTTTGCGGCACCATCTTGTTCTGCTGCAGGTAAGTCCTGCGACAACAACGACAGGTGGGAGACATCTCTTAGCTGACGTCGCATGCCTAAGCTCCCATTTGTTTGCATTGATGATTGAAGCAGCCATTCTGCATGTGATGATCGTACCCAGTGCTTGAGCAACTTGAACAACACGAATGAGACTGGGCACCGGGGCATCGCTAGATCGGGCGTGCATGCATCTGGCCACCTGCCAGGGAAGAGCGGGACTGCACCAAAGCAAGCTGCCCAGTGGACTGTGAATGGGAAGACTGGGCCGACTGGAACTTCAGCTGCAAAGATCTAGCGAGACTTGGAATTGGCGTGTTTCCATAGGGTTAGCCAAATTTGAATCATCGTCTCGCATGAATCTGGCAATCTTCCTCCTGGGTTTTTGCTGAAAGTCTCTGTAAGAAGAGCTCTTTGGAAAGTCGGCCCCTTGCTTGTGCTCGCAAGTTCGATCCCAAGGTCGTTTTTATCTGCAGATGTGGTGCAATGACTGTGCTGTACATGCTCTGAGCAAGAATGATTGTCAACCCCATGCACGGGGCCATGAGTGTTTCATGGCTAAAGCAAAGTCCCATAAAGATCCCTGCATTCTGGGTTTTTGCCACCTCCTTGACTGCTGGCGTGCATTCAGACTCAGCACGAACGGAGCAGCTGCTGATGTCTGCTGATTGGTGCTAGGATATTTAGATTGATTGGCCCATCCGCAAGAGGAACTGCCGAAGAAGTACCAAAACTCAGCTCGAATGTAGGTGCCGGTTGAACACTGGTGCGGGGCCTTGCACTTGGATCAATCTGCAACAGCCCGCATTGCTTCCTCAACGTTATGTGCTTCAAGGCAACACCCTAAACATCGTTAAGGCCTGAAAGATCCGGTGACATCCTAAAACCAAACTCCATGAGGCTAAATTGAACCCAGAGCCGGCGCCAGGACGGAGTGCTCCAAAAGTTGTGGGGATGCCGAGCGCTTCGCGGAACGAGGCAGCCGCGCTGCCGAGCCGCTTGGCTCGCAGATCCCGTGTTGAGATCTTGGGGTGTTGGTTCAGATTCAGAGCCGAGGACTAGTAGGATTTGTAGGGTTGAGCGATGTTTCGCACGGCGAAAGCTGTGATTCTGCTTGCCGTTGCCTTTGCAGCGCAATGTTGGCATGGCAAATAGGATCTGCTTGCGGTTCGGGCTAGCGGAGGAGGCCTTCTTGGTTCTGAGTGCAGAGTGCAAATCTCTTTCTGTTCATGGAGTAAAGGCCCCAGCTTTCGGGAGTTTGCTTTTCCATGATCTGAGTACTTGAAGCTGAGGCTAAGTCTTAGCAGCTTTGGCGGTCTGAGCGTATAGTTTAGTCTGGCTGTCCAAAGACGGCCTCTGACAGCTGAGCAGTTGGAGGTTCGGCGGGCGCCTGTGTTCTGGTTCCTCGCAGAAGACGGAGGCAGGTCCGGACACAACGCTGTGATGGAGCTTCCTTTCTTTGGCTGCATCTCACGGTACTGGTGCAGCCCTGCTACAGGCTTGTCACTTGGATGACTGCCCCGTGGATTGCGCCTTTGGCTGCAGAAAGTAGGCAGGCGCCCTCCGATCTCATACTTGATGATGGAGACGACGATGGAGACGATGATGGCATGTCCAGCGATAAGCACTTGATGCTCTCTTGTTTCACAGCGAAGGTAAGTGGAGCGATTGGTCGGACTGGGGCGGCTGTTCAAAGACATGCAACGGGGGGAAGGACCGCGCTGGGTCTGTGAGAGATCAGGTGTCGCGGTTTGGGCACAACACCAAGCAATGACAACAGACTACAATCCGGCCGTAAAGCGGACATTAGTACAAGTTTATTTCGCCTCTCACCGTGCGAGGGCTGAGTCATCTTCTACTGGGTCGCATCTTGCTCTTCATTCTCCCGCTCCTACGACAACTCTTGCTGTTGGGCTACTACTACTGCAGCTTCTACCACCGCCGCCAGCAGCAGAAGCAGCAGCAGCAGCAGCAGCAGCAGCACTGCTACTAGTACTACTAGTACTACTACTACTACTACTACTACTAGTAGTACTAGTACTACTAGTACTACTAGTATTACTAGTAGTAGTACTACTACTACTACGACGACGACTACTACTAGTGGGACTGCGACTACGACTACACGACACCTACTACTAGTACGAGTACTAGATTGCTAGTGCTAGTACTGCTGCTGCTGTTGCTGCTGCTGCTGCTGCTGTACTACTGCAACTACTTCTGCTACTACTGCCACGACTTCTGCTGCAGTGTGCTTGGGCGGCTCATTCCTGTCTGACATACGTGGTTGTTTCGCGTATAAGCCGGGAATCTCACCCAGTCTTTTTTGACATGGGTGGTTGTTTGGTGGAGTTCCTCAATATGACGCCAATTCCGATTGAGATGGCATGTTGGTGTAGTCTGCCAGAGTCGCCCCGATGCCTTTTTGCCATGTGTGGTGGCTTGTTGCATGTGGACAGCATCATTGTTATGTGCTCTGTTGTTTGGTGCAACCCAGCAACATCACCCCAATTCAGTTTGACATGTGGATTTGCTTGGCTTTGGCCGACAACATTCCTGCCTTCTCCGTCATTGCGCACCTATGAACGAAAGTGCATGTCGCAGGAGAGCAGATCGAGGGAGAGCACGCCTGGCAACTCCCAGGGAAAGCCGTGCACTGGAGCTACCCGTCCATAGGGTTGTCAAAACACAGGGTTTGGCACTAAAGTTTCGGGTGTACTTGATCTGCTCTTCGTTGCTGTTATTGTTTCCATGTGCTGCGACACCGTTCCCGGCTCCAAGGAGGCACTCAACACCAGGACTTGTGGCGAGAACATCTGTCCCACCGCACCTTGCCTAACAGGAAGCCCACTCGGCAAGGCATGTGACAAAAAAGAGATGTCTGTCAGAAGTATCCGAGGACTGCGTGGTTGGCGACTGGCTAGCTTGGGAGCCCTGCAGCGTCTCCTGCGGCAGCGGCACTGCAGAGCGGAAGCGAAGCATCAAGCAGCAGCCGGCCCGCTGGGAAATCGCAGAAATTGAAAGGGGACTTGTTGGCGAACTGGTCATTCATGTACACTCGTACATGCATGCATGCATGCGTGCGT